CTCTTTATAAATGTCGTGCATTTAAGGAGAAATCCATTAACGACCGTATGGCACTGCTAAGGGAGAACAACATTTGTTTTAGGTGTTGTTTGTCATCCACACATATTGCAAGGAATTGCAGAGTCAAACTGCTCTGTGCAGAGTGCAAAAGCGAGGAGCATCACACAGCACTTCATCCAGATCCCAGAAGTTATGTTGACCCCCAACCACAGCATGGCGGGGAGGATGAAATAACCACAAGTCAGCCTCAAGTAAATTCGAAGTGTACAGAAATCTGTGGCGGAGAACAGACAAATCGATCCTGCTCAAAAATATGCCTTGTAAAAGTGTATCCAGCTGGCTGCAGAGACAAGGCTGTGAAACTGTATGCGATTCTGGATGAACAGAGCAACAGGTCACTTGTGCGATCTCAGTTTTTTGATGTGTTCAATGACCGAAGTCCAAGTGCTCCCTATACACTGAGAACATGTGCTGGAGTTAGGGAAGCAGCTGGAAGAAGAGCTAGTGGATATGAAATAGAATCTTTAGATGGAAATGTCCGGATCCTATTGCCAAGTCTTATAGAATGTAATGACATTCCTAACAACAGAGACGAAATCCCAACCCCAGAGGTGGCCCGTCACCATCAGCACTTGAAATCATTGGCTCATCTGATCCCTAATATTGACCCACAAGCCCAGATTATGCTGCTGCTTGGTCGAGACCTTATCAGAGTTCATAAGGTACGTAAACAGCTGAATGGCCCACATGATCTGCCATATGCTCAGAAACTTGACCTTGGGTGGGTTATCATTGGGAATGTATGCTTAGGCAGCAATCACATGCCTCAAACAATCAACACCTTTTACACCAAAACCACAGAAACGACACGCCCTACCCTCTTTGAACCTTGCCCCAATGTGTTCTGCATCAAAGAGAAATACAGCAGTGAGTACATCCCAACCCATCCTTCACTCTTTTCTGAGATGGACCCAGAGTGTTGTGCTGATCATCTTGGATGTGCTGTGTTTAGGCAGACTAAAGAGGACAACCAGTTGGCTCCTTCAATTCAGGATGCCCTTTTTATGAAAATAATGAATGAGGGTCTACACAAAGATGCAAACAATAGCTGGGTTGCACCGTTACCCTTTAAACACCCACGTCAGAGGCTTCCCAATAACAAGCCCCAAGCATTAAAACGCCTCATCTCACTCAAACAAAGCTTCAGAAGGAAGCCAGAAATGCGAGAACATTTTCTAAGCTTCATGAAGAAGATGTTTGTAAAAGGCCATGCAGAAATAGCTCCTCCAGTGACAGCAGATGAAGAGCAGTGGTACTTGCCCATATTTGGTGTGTACCATCCAAAGAAGCCCAACCAAATTCGAGTTGTATTTGACTCTAGTGCTCAGTATGAAGGTGTTGCACTCAACGATGTGCTGCTAACCGGGCCGGACCTGAACAACTCACTTTTGGGTGTACTACTGCGCTTTCGAAAAGAAGCAGTGGCTTTCACAGCAGATATAGAACAAATGTTCTATTGCTTTTATGTGAGGGAAGAAGACAGAAACTTCTTACGTTTCCTGTGGTTTCAGGACAATGATCCCGGTAAGACCATTATAGACTACCGTATGAATGTCCATGTCTTCGGAAATAGACCCTCACCAGCAGTGGCTATTCATGGCCTCCATCAGTCTGTACAAGACCAAAAGTTCCAAGTTGATGCAGATGTCAAGAACTTTGTCACACGTGATTTCTACGTAGATGATGGTCTTAAATCCCTGCCTACAGTTGAAGCAGCGGTAAATTTGTTGAAAAGGACTCAAGATGTTCTTTCTAAGTCAAATCTTAGGCTACATAAGATTGCCTCAAATAGAAAGGAAGTCATGGAAGCATTCCCATCCACTGATCATGCAAACAGCCTCAAAGATCTCGACCTTGATGATGACACACTGCCAGTGCAGCGCAGTCTCGGGCTCGACTGGAACCTCCAAACAGACTGCTTCGTGTTCAGTGTGTCTAAAGAGGTTAAACCCTACACCCGGAGGGGTGTTTTATCCACCGTCAACAGCCTTTATGACCCTCTTGGGTTTGTAGCACCAGTGACCATCCAAGGAAAGGCTATCCTGAGAGAGCTCACAACTGAAAAAGGAGATTGGGATGCACCTTTACCAGAAAATATGGAGAAGATTTGGGTGTCATGGAGAGCCTCCTTATCCGGACTGTCTGGCTTTTCTGTTCCCAGATTGTATACAGAAACATCCCCTTCAGCTGCTTCCAGAAGAGAACTGCATATCTTCTGTGATGCATCAACAAAGGCTATTGCTGCAGTTGCATATCTGAGAGTCATTGATGCATTCAGCAAATGCTATGTTGGATTTGTAATGGGCAAAGCCAAGCTTGCCCCTCGTCCTGACATGACCATGCCAAGATTAGAACTTTGTGCTGCAGTTCTTGCTGTAGAGCTAGCAGACCTACTCTCAGCAGAACTGGATCTCCAGCTCAATGCCTTGCACTACTATTCAGACAGCAAAGTGGTCTTGGGCTACATCCACAATGAGAGCAGACGTTTTTATGTCTTTGTCAACAACCGGGTGCTACGCATCCGAAAATCCTCTCTTCCAAACCAGTGGCACTATGTGCCGACAGACCAAAATCCTGCAGATCACGCTACGCGTTCTGTTGCTGCAAGTCACCTTAAGGACACAAACTGGTTAAGTGGACCAAGATTTCTGTCCAGCCCAGAATCAAGGAGCTGTAAGGACATTTTTGACCTTGTTGATCCAATCTCAGATCCAGATGTAAGACCTGTAGTGTCCACCTTACTCACCACAGCTTCCACCACAACTCTTGGCTCTCATCGTTTTGCCAAGTTCTCTTCATGGAAGTCTCTCACTCGGGCCATAGCACGTCTATTGCACATAGTCTGCATGTTCAAGATTGTGCAGACGAGAAACCAGTCTTGTAAAGGCTGGCACTATTGCACAGCAAGGATAACTGTGGGGGAGATAGATCGTGTTTCGAATATCATCACACGAACAGTGCAGGAGGAAACCTACATGGAAGAGATTAAGTTAATTCAGAAGGAAAAAAAGATTCCTAAATCCAGCCCTCTCCACAGACTAGACCCATTTATCGATGAACATGGGCTCCTGAGAGTTGGAGGACGTCTCCACCATTCTAGCCTTAATCGGACTGAAAAGAATCCAGTGATCATCCCTGGACAGCATCATGTTGCAGCTCTAATAATCAGACATTGCCATGAAAAAGTTCACCATCAGGGCCGTCATTTTACAGAGGGAGCTGTTCACACTTCAGGCTTTTGGATAGTCGGATGCAAAAGGAGGGTGAGCAGTATCCTTAACCAATGTGTAACATGTAAAAGGCTCAGGGCGCCACTCAGTGTTCAGAAGATGGCCAATCTACCGGCAGATCGTCTTACCACAGATCCCCCATTTACTAATGTGGGTCTGGATGTCTTTGGCCCATGGCACATCAGTTCACGTCGTGCTAGAGGGGGCCTGTTGTACAGTAAACGGTGGGCTGCAATGTTTACATGTATGAGTGTAAGAGCTGTTCACATTGAAGTCATTGAGTCCCTCGACACATCAAGCTTCATCAATGCATTCAGACGCTTTCTTGCTGTGCGAGGACCAGTCAAACACATACGATCAGATCGTGGCACCAATTTTGTAGGAGCCTGTAAAGAATTGAGAATACCATCCAACATTGATGACTCTGCAGTCAAGACTTACCTGTTGAACCAGGGAGTCACTTGGACTTTTAATCCTCCGCATGCTTCTCACCATGGTGGTGCATGGGAGAGAATGATCGGTCTGGCAAGGAGAATTCTCGACTCCATGTTCCTTCAGCTAAAAAACAAGCTTACCCATGAGGTCTTGGTTACCTTCATGGCAGAAGTAGCCGCTATCATCAATTCTAGGCCACTCTTGCCAGTAACAGATGATCCTGACGACTTCTACATGCTCACACCTGCAACTCTCCTCACTCAAAAGGTGAATGTTGTTAAGGCTCCAGGGGGCGAGTTTGGAGCTTCTGACCTTTATAAGTCTCAGTGGCGACAGGTGCAACACTTATCCAATACCTTCTGGGACAGATGGAGGAAACAATACCTGCCCATGCTGCAACCCCGTCAGAAATGGCAATCAATGCAACCTAACATCACAGAAGGGAGTGTTGTTCTGTTAAAGTGCAGCGAGGTGGCGAGGAATGAATGGCCTACTGGACTGATAACAAAGACCTTCCCTGGTCAAGATGGAAAAGTGCGACACGTTGAAGTGAAGACTGTGAAAGCAGGAAGGCCTGCAATCTATCTCAGACCTATTACAGAGATAGTGGTTCTCCTCCCAAGCAGGGATTAGTTATTTAGGTTGTTTTTCTGTTTAGTGACGTATATCTACGCCAGGCGGGGAGTGTATTGTTATGAGCAAATTTTATGTTCATTTTTTCATTTGTTATTAAGGTAATCTTTAAGTATCAGTGAGGTGGTGCTGTCACTTTAAGAAACACTGAAGCCTGGTAACAGGAAGTTGTCACATAGGATGTAGAATGAGGTAATCAGGAAGTAAAATGCACATGCTACAGAATTAAATTTTGTTGTCAAGTTTATCCAGCAACATCTGCAAACTTCTTATGCCTTTGGTAGCATCGTTGTTTCACCTTCCTTACGACTTCAATAAACCTGTGGACAAGGAGTCATCTGTCTTCAGAGTCTTGATGTTAAGGAGGCGTTTAACTGACTGTCAAGTCATATCGAGTACATGTGATGAGGACAGCACAAGTATAGAGGTAAATATTTGCAGATGGAGTTTATCTGATGAAGGTTCAGACGTTTTAATCTCGTTATTGTTGCTCATGGTATCAATCTAGCCTTTGACCCCTTCTCATTCATGTTCAAAATGGTTTTAAAACAGATTTAAGGAGCCCCTTTTTTCGTTTTTTAAAAATGTTTTTATAATTGATGGGATGTTGGAGAGGTGTTTTTTTCTTTAACCAGACATCAGCATTGAGAGTAAACATGAGGTCACAATCCTGAGTGGACTGAATGAGTTTGTGGTCAAATTCCATGGGCCACCTGGAAGTAAGAGCCTTTGTCTTCAGTTTTTTTCCACAATGTTTTATGGGATACATTGGCTTGGAATCACAGAACTGTTTACTGTCTGCAAAAAAAATATTCACACCTCCTTGATGCTTTTCCCACTTTGTAACCTTAAAAATGCCAATCATTGTATTTTTGGTGATCAACCGATACAAAAAAGCTCTGGATATTGACTAGAACGTTCTTACCCATGAAAACTCTCTGACTGCATGATTAGCGTTGTGTTTAAGTCTTTGGCAACTTATATATAAAATAGTTTAGTTTTTCTCCGATTGTTGGGTATTCGGCTCCATCTATGGTTACCGGGATTCTAACCAGGATTTTTATGAGTGTAGCGAGGGGCAATTTTTCTTTTTTTCTTTAATTTTTTTTAAGCTTGCTCTCTGCTGTCGGGCAGGAGTATGTTGACCTGCCTCAGGTAGCCAATGACATTTTTAAAAACACAGGGTTCATGTTTTCACAGCGGCCCTCTCATGTAGATGTGCAAATATCGAAGTAAATATGTTTAAAGATGCAGTTTCTGCTGCCATTTTTCTCGTTAAAAGTCAATTAATCGCCATAATTCCATTGTAACTAAGAGTTTCAGCTTAATCAGCCTTTGTTCTGAAATGCTCTTGAGACCAAGTCAGTGAAAGAGCCGGTATGCACATTGAAAAAATGAGCAAATCTTCCTGATTTTTAGCTTAACGGGGAGATTTTTTTTCTCCAAATAACGGCCCGGCACAAAATATGCTGTCCAGCATCTGTCTCTTCACAGTATGCCACTGCCAACACCAGATACCGGTGTGGCCAGGCTGATGTATGGGGGTCGTTTTTTTGTTTATTTGTTTTTCAGATTTTTGCATAAGCCAAAAAGTTCATAAGTGGCCTCATGTGTCTAGAGTACTTATGGAGCTTTGGATTAATAGTTGTTTAGCAGAGCTTTAGGCCTCTGCAGCTCCTCTAGATGTAGAAGGGACCTCTCAGCTTCTCTCCCTCCCCGTCGGGTCGGTCATGTGTCACTTTCCTTCTTCTTCATAATTACACACTCATTTGTTTTGGTTGATCACACAAAACACCACAATCCCACATCTTAAAATAAAGAGGTTCTGGTTGGAAGGTAACAAAATGTGGGAAAAAAAAGTCAAAGGGGTGTGTATTTTTTTAATATGGTACTTTCCTAATGATATGGCTTCTTATCTGCTCCTATCTTTTAGCGCCGTATGAAGGAGGCGTATGGAAGGTTCGGGTGGATCTACCAGATAAATACCCTTTTAAATCCCCATCAATAGGTATAGATATATACATTCTTATAGATAACATTATAACGGATTGACCGTTATACGTCCTTTAATATTATCTTCCTTGTTAATCATGATAACTTGGTGTCACAGAAAGATCTGGAACCAAAATGAGAGGAGAAATAAGAGCTGGTTTGAATCTGATGTCTATGATAGTAATTTTTAAAATCCTTTTTTTTTTGTTTCAGGTTTCATGAACAAAATCTTTCACCCCAACATTGATGAAGCGTAAGTTAAACTCATTGCTTCGGGAGTTGGCATGAAAAAAAAAGTTATCTGAGCATAAAACATAGTTTTCCTGCTTCCTGAAGATGTTTTTGTGTCTGTTTCTCAGATCAGGAACAGTGTGTTTAGATGTCATCAACCAGACATGGACGGCTCTTTATGGTAGGTCACAGTGACGTCCGCTAACATTCAAACCAAAGAAAACCCACACAGACAGAGCCAACAGCTCAAACTAGACCTCTGAAGTAGAGCTCAGCACAGTGTCTCTGTTTAATCAGCTTACACTGCGTTAGCGATAACTGCTGCTAGTATTCAGGTCAAGCATTCAGGGCTGATAGATGAGAAAGTCTTGAACATGTGGAGAAGACATGTTTGGGTTTATGTTGCTGCTCATTTTGTCCCTTTGTGTCAATCAACCAGCGAGATGTCTAAGAGTTACTTTGGGTAAACCTATACTTCGGCATAAAATGGCATGAGAAACCAAATGAAGGAAAATATTAAGTAGCATAAAGATTTTTAGATGATGATAAAAAAAAAAAAGTCACCTTATAAGTGAGATTTGAACACTTTTAACATCTGTTTATCCACACAGTGTACTTCCTATTAGACCCCTGGGAGGAGGTCCGATACATTTAAGAAAGAATGTGGAGAAAACAAAGTTGTTTGAGTATTTTTAGATTAATCTAATTTGCAAGCTGCAGTTTCCAAACTCCTGTTACAGTGGAATCAGGTCGTTTAGCTAAGTTAATCTGGATAATATTCTACTGTGAAACCTTTCAGTTTTAGAAAACAGTCATTATAAAACCCCTGAATTTTATTAACCTTTGGCCTAAATGCTTGTTTCACCACCTCTGGAACTAACAGCGATACTTATAATTAGAATGTCCTGACTGATTTGGCTTTCTAATTTTTAATATATTAACTATAAAATGACAATAAAAATACATTAGTTAAATTTTCTCATGACTATGCTCACATTAAGATAACTAGTTTGGGGGTTTTATGGGGAGAAGGTATGTGTATCATTTGAGTAATATATGTTTCCATATCTAATTAGAGGTAAATAGCAACCTAACCCATGAACGCATATGTCAATATTTCGGAAAATCTTAACTGATTAATTGTATAGTGGATTAGCTTGTAAAACACTTTGCTTTGTTTTTGTACTGAATTGTGCTATACAAATAAATTTGCCCTGCCTTGCCTTGCCTTGCTTATTGCGCCTTAGTCATTTTCAAAGTATGCTGTGGCAAAGGCATGTGGGAAAACCAATGAGTCAGATGCCTCCCTATCGTGCTCTATACCTTTAATTTAGACAACATGGATGTGTACATAAGTTTGTATATGTCATAGTAAGTGCTTTAGAGAAATCTAGTCTGTTATTGGTGAGTTTATAAGGAAAATATGGATGTTTTCTCGTTTCTTTTCCATTTACGGTTTACATTGACCCTGGACTTTTCATGGTGCCTATCTGATTTGGGCCCCCCATGGGTCCCTTCCTGGGCACCCCTGTGTAACCTTTCTGGCTCCGCCACTGCCTTAAGCGTGACTCAGACAGGTGTGTGCTCCCCCAGCTGCCTTCAAGACATTTTAGCCAAGAAATGCAGATGTGCGAAGGACCTAAATGGGAGCTTGCTATGCTTATACCTTATTTTTAATTTAATGTTCACTAGAATGGTCACTGTATCTCTTGATGCACATAGTGAGATGCTTACAGATGAATGTGTTAACGCTGTGATTGACGCTCCAGATTTCCCTGAGGGTTCTCAAACTGTGATTATCTTTTAGAAAAAGGGATTTAAAAACGTACCTTATTTAAAATGCTAATCTGAATCTGCTGTTGAAAAATATGTTTTTTAATTCAATTATTTGACAATAAGATGGAGACTTGATAAAACAAAGCTTAGAGCTGAGAGCAGTGCTGATATCTGAAATGGGTGGAGGTGAACTGGTGAAACAAACATCCTCAAAAGCCATGCATTGAGGAAATATATGGCTGCTGTTTATAACTCAAACACAGATTAAGGGAAAGTATAGGATGTGCTGGAAACTGTAGGTCAGATATGCAAAGAACAGGCCGGCCAATCTACATTTAGCTGGTTAAAAAAAAAACCTCAGCTATAAGCCTGAGAGATGACTTGTTTAACTAAGGAGGAAAAGGACCATGGGTTTTATGTTCTTATAACAGAAGCTGGCATCATTATTATGTTTAAAAAAATAGATAAAAGTTTCATTAATTTTGTTTGCTTAAATTAGTTTGTTGAATTTTTGAATGAAGCAGCGCTGAGCTTTTTTTGTTTTTTCATCCAAGGACAACAGAGACACTGGAAGCTTTTATAAAAACTGTCAAGCACCACAGAACACAGTTATTTTGGACAAATATAACAAAAAACTGTTGATAAGAATTTAATTTAAGAGTACGTCTGTCACTGAAAAAAACAACAAAAAACAGTAAATCACATGATAAAAATGATTAACATTATAAATTCAAATGAGATCAATAATTTCTGTTTGGACTCTTGTTTTATCTCTGCTTCTATTAAAGAGTCTAGATGATTAAAAGTTTCACTCATGTACGTCAGTCTCCACTCACAGCTCCCCTCATCGTTTGTTCAGCATCAGAGCATCGTGAAGAGTAGCAAGCCAGAGAAGGCTAGTTGGAATTAAGAAAAACGGAGCTGGAATTGGTTTTAAATCCGAGGGGGGAAAGCAGCAGTGTGGAACACTGAATGATAATATTATAATTTATTGCAATAATATCTGAGACAAGTTGTCATCCAGCAGCATTCATTATCGTGACGGGCCCATTTAAGAGCTGATATCGAACTATTATCCATGTTTTTGTTGATAGCCAAAACCTGTTTAGGCCACAAAAAGCTGTGGCATCAAACTGCTAAAAACAACTTTTAGACATCGAGTCTGTTTTAGTCACTTTATACACACAGTTGGTGGTTAATTGTATAGCTGTTGTTTTTGATGACAAAGATAGTCTAATATTTTTTTTCCCCCATGACTGCATATGATTATTTTTAACAGCAAAGCCAGGAATTGGAGTTTATGAATCAACCAAGCTGCTTTAGATTTCTGTCCACTAACTGCATAACCTTTGATAAGCGAAGTATTGCTGATTAAGATTTTAGGTTTTATGCAAATAAACTATGCAAATGACAACATAAAGTCTTTTAGAGTCCTCATGGAAAGGTAACATTTTGGAGTTAGCAGTACTTCCTGAGGCGCTGCTGCATTCAGACCTCTTTTTAAAACTGACAACACCAATGAAACTCGGAATATGTGAATGTTCTTTCAGGTTGGTTTCCTTTCCTTTCGGTGAGGAAACTCCTTTTTGCTATAGAAAAAGGTGCAGCAAAACCTTTGTCTCATGTTAACTTCCTATCTACAGCTTGTTCTCATAGGTTCTCAGGTTGTAAGGCACAATAGACAGAAAAACCTAAACTAAATGTCCACATTTTCCTGAAATGTACTAATCGAGGGAAAAACAAAAAAATGAATCTTTCTATGAAGCCTGTAGAGATTCCTTTTAGTGAGCCATCTTGATATAAGTTAAATAGAAAAAGATAATGAATGTATGGATTTGGAGACCGACATCACTTATGATTTTCCTATGTTTCATTAAAAAAAAATGGGTATAAACTAGCAACACCTTGTGGCTAATGTTGATACTGCACTCACATGTTTCTCCTTTCATTTGCCAGACCTCACCAACATCTTTGAGTCCTTCCTCCCTCAGCTGCTCGCCTACCCCAACCCCATCGATCCTCTGAATGGGGATGCCGCCGCCATGTACCTGCACCGGCCAGAGGACTACAAACACAAGATTAAAGGTAGTAAACACCTGAATGTATCTTCAATTTCATTGTCGGTGCCTTACAGGTGTGTTTTCTATTCCATTCTATTCCTTTTTTTTAATGTAAGGTTAAAAGACGATCTTAAATGTTTTTTACAGGAGTTTACTTGGTAGACAAAGTTGTGCTTAATTATGATTATCAATAGGGTTTCATTTGGTATAGCTGTTCTGAGGAGACCTTAGTGATTTATTAGATTACATTATGGAACCAACAACACCATGAGGACCACAGAATATAGTCGGTTTATAAAACAATATCCTGAGCTTTGTGCACTTCATAAAACAATATTCAACCCATAATCACAGAATGGAAAGGGTATGACACAAGTGGAAAGCTAGCGAGACATCACCGTCCAGCCTAACTGACGGGTCAGGGTCAGGCTAGTAGAGCATTAATCCCCATGGTAACCATGGAGGAGTTGAAGAGATCCACTGCTCAGGTTGGGGAATCTGTTGATTGATGCAGATGAATTAAAAACTGAACTTTTTGTCCTGTAGACAATTTCTGTGGTGGAAGACTAACTTTCTGACTGAAAGTGAGAAAGGGAAAGTAACTGTTCGGTTACATCATGTTAAATCAGATGTTATAAGCAAGTGAAAATTGATGAAAAGACTCAACCATTGATGTTCACAGAAACTTCCTGATTAACCTGACTCGTCATTAAAGGGGAGATACACTAGACGTGTTTATGGCATGTGGCGTTAGCACCGTGGCTTACAGGAATTTATTAAAACTGAATTTCTACCAGACGCTGCCAGGTAGACTCTTCAGATACAGATTTATTCTTTCGTTTCATTGCTAGGCCTGTCACGATAACACATTTTGCTGAATGATTAATTGTCTCAAAAATTATTGCGATAAACGATAATATTGTTTGAAGACCTTTTCTACACTGATTTAATGGAAATGACGTAATAATGCATGCGATTTCCTTCCAAAGATAAACACACTTTATTTTCAACAGAACACTTAACACTTGAACTGGTTAACAAAATAAAACGAGAAATAAAACTGAACTCTCAGTCTCTGTTAACTAAAAATACACTTGAATAAAAACTAAACTCAAGATAAAACCAAATCACTTCGGTCATTTGGTTTGAGTCCGAAATACTGCCACACTGCAGCTGTTGCATTTGGCTTTGAAACCAGTTCCATTTCGAGCTGCTGTGGTCCTCTGTTAGTTTATTGGATCATTTAGAAGTCAATAGAGTTTTTGAAAGGATTTTTTATTTTGTTGATGTTTGGTTTTGGATTGAAATGCCGTCAATTAATCACAGACCCTAAAAGTATCTCGGTTAAAAATATGAACCGAGTCCCACCACTGAAATATATAATTTTCCTTCCATTTCATTTATATTCTACATTTGGTTGGTATAAAGCTTTAAATTAAAATCAAACGCTTCCCTAAATACCCACTCGATTGTACAATAACCTGTGAAGCAATCCTGTTTTTTTGACTATAATATGAGAGAATGTGAAGAAGTTTCAGAAGTCTGAATATTTTTACGAAGCAGAGTATCTGATTGAGTCGCATGAGTCACAAGAAGCGCGTAATGTTGTCCTGTGATTTTTAATAGTCGCACGCATGCACTAATTAATCCGTCTGTCTCTTTCAGAATACATCCAGAAATACGCCACAGAGGAGGCTCTAAAGGAGCAGGAGGAGGGCGGAGGGGACTCGTCCTCCGAGAGCTCCATGTCAGACTTTTCTGAGGACGAGGCTCAGGATATGGAGTTGTAGTGAAGGCGAAGGCGTCCTTCATCTTTCAACAGACTATCATTTCCTAAAGAGCAGAAACTCAGTACTATATTCGTATTTAAACAAACAGGACACATTTTTTTACGGTAACACAAGGATTTTTATTGCCACACAAGGTTTTGCAGTATGGAAAAAACAAAACAAAAACCAAACTCCTCACCATCATCTCCGTGCTCTTCCTCTTCGTCTTCATTCAGAGAGATCAGAGTGAGGTGCTGTTTGATCTTCAGCTCTTCTTGGTGATCTCAAACCCAGATTTTCGCTATGCATTGTAAAACCGACACAGGATGATGCTCACCAACGCATTTTTACCACATTTTTTTATGTTGCCGCCTTTTCGTCTCTTCAAGGCAGAGTTTGAGGATTGAAGAAATAAAAAAACGAGAACCTTTTTTTACATTGTTTTTCTTTTCCCCACCACCAACAAGGAGCTGCAATCATTACAATCAGTTTTATTAAAAGATAAAATGGCAGCAGGCCAGATTGCTCATGTTTGCAGAGTACAGGCTGCAGATGGTCTTTGCAGGACTGCAGGAAGGTGCAGAAACATGGCACACATTCTAACCACATTGCAGTTTGCATGAATTTCTTTCTGTGCCCTGTGCTGTGATCCTCAGCAGTGATCGAGGAAAAAGGCCAATTATCAACATCCTCAACCTTCTCCTCCCCCTCTCCGTTTTAGGAAAGCATTCGCCATTCTCTGGGTATCTTTGTTGTGGCATGAAAGACAAGTAAAGTTTGTGTTGGCCTCCGTGGAGCTGTGTCAATGTGGGCATGAAGAGGACTCCTCAGTCCATCAGGGAGGATTATTTGTCGAACTTAACTTTGCCTATTGCTTGTGTTGAACTATAATAGGTGTCTGACATGCGTAGGGATAGTTAGTTTGTTTTGCAGATGGTGAATCCTCTCATAATGTATGGTTTATAGATATATAATTAAAAAACAAACGCTTTACCTGTTAAAGTTGTGGAAAGTTAAATCATCTTTATTTTTTAGATGAATCCCTCCAGAGAAGTGCCCCCCTCTCCTATCCTCCTGCACCTCCTCATGTCAATGTGTGCATCACATCTGATTGTAGAAGCGCTCTTTGTTTTCCTGCTGTTGGTTAGTATGTTTCACCAAAAATATTGGGACCAAAAATAATTTCATGTTCTCCCTCGAGGTTTGAACTCTTAAAAAAAAAAAAAAAAAAAAACACTTTTAGTTTACTCCTGCAAAGCTTTAGCCGGTGGAAGTGTTGATGGGACACTGATCTGAGTTTGTTCTTGCCCACACCCTGCTCGTTGCACATCAGAACATTATTTTTGACCTCGAATGAGAAATATTTAACGGGCTTCAATAAATGGGTTCATTTCATGTTGTTTGAAGGGGAAATAGTTGAAATCAGACCTCATTAAAACAGATTAGCTTTTGTTCCAAATACTCTGCATGTTGGTGTTAGTCTTAGGACAACATGATGTCAAAGTTTTCAAATGAAACTAAACAAAAATAAAAAATAGGAACCACTGTCCAGCCTCTTTGGATGCCATCAGGATTCCCTGCTTTGTTTCTTCTTCTTTCTTTTTTTTTAAATTAATGAATCTCATATTTGATGCCTATAATTTCTCTGAATGTTTTTATTTTGAACTTTTAAGCCCGGTGTGCAGGATAAAGATCTAAGATATCCGATTTTTAAATGGGAAAAAGAAATATCAATAAATGTGCTTCCCTTGTAACTCAAAGAAATAAACAACAAAAACATACATGATCAGTGTTGTATTTTTTCTCTACTAACATGGGCATGAATTAGTTTGTCATTCATTTTGAATTTTTTTTAAAGACTTACAAGACTTTTCAAGGTTTGTCCACTAGATGGCAGTGCTAGGATGTTTCGTTTAGTAACAGCAGAGGGTTGAATATTGCCTCCCAGGAATGTAGCTTTGTTTATTTAACATCTTTGTAAAAGTTTAGGTTTATTAGAAAAGGGATAAAAGTTAAAAACCATAAGTTGACTTGAGACACACAAAGGATAAAAAACATGAGGTTTCTGTGTAAAAAAACAAACAAACAAAAAAACAAAACCAAAAACAGATTTATGATTTTCTATGAATAATCATTCACTTTTATAAACGGTTTGTTAGTTGAAACACTTAAGACAGCAGCATTAGATTAAAGGCTGCGAGTTTGACGGACGTATTTCACTACATATTTTCCAGAGGCGAACAATTATATTTAAGTCTAGTTGAAAGAGCTGTAGGACTCATTTCCATTCTGCTGCTGAAGCCAATCTTTGGATATCTGGTCTCTGTGTTTGGATGCAATGTGATGTGGAAACAAAATCATCTCCTTAGCTGTAAAGATGGATTTAGAGAACATTGGTTTGGTAGAGTACCTCTCTTATCAAGGTATTTCTACCCTCACATCTTAGTTCCCTCTGTAGAGGGTGCTGGTTTTTCCCCATCTTCTATTCCCGATGATGGAGATCAGTGTTTTTCAAGATTTAAATGTTGGTTAAACAAATAATTTGTTTCCTTTCCCTCATTTTGCCCAGTCTTGGAGCTCTACAGACTGTACCTTTTATTGTTTAAAGGAGTACATCAACAGAAGTTTGTTTCATCCTAGACTATCAGGTAGGGTTACAGCTGGACCCCTGTCAGGTGTAGTACAATCAAAATGGCTTCTCCATCTTAAAATCACTAACATGCCCAACGCTGGGATGAGAAGAGTAAGCTTTTAGTTGCAACTACTTGAGGTGATGTTGATGTGATACAAATAGACAACTTGGTAAAAAAAAAAAAAAAAGTTACCAAGTCTAACAGCAGGATATCTAATCATTCTAAAATATAATATATGGACAAACCAACATAAAACTGGGTCCCAAGACAAAAGTGGAATCCTCTTCAAAGGCCAGCTTAGTCTATAAGCTTAAGTCCCACAGAAATACAGAGAAAAGGGACCAAATCGCCCTCTTTCTAAACTTTCCAACCTTTATTAAATGTCATAGAAGACAAAATGCTTCCCTATTGCTAAAATTGGGTTGGGAAAAGTGTAGTCCTAAATGGTCAACACTGATTATAAAATAATATCTTAACTTATATGCATTTGATTAAAACTTAACATGAATAATTGAGAGGTGGATCTTTTCTAAAGTTACTGGCAGATGTTTACAGTGACACATAAATTATCACTCCACTGTAGTTACCCTAATGCTTTAAAGGATCACAGTAGTCTATATTATAAACTTTAACATTTAGTGAAATAACATTGGGTTAATTGATTTAAGCTAGGTGAGATCTTTACCGTTATTCAAAATAAGCAATATTTTCTATGAACAAATCTTTGCAAAATTATTTTTAAAAGATATCAAAAGTAGATACAATGTAAACTAGATATTCATTTTTTAATCTTTCCTAATGTATATGCATTAACTATACTGTAAAGATTCATTCCTCTTGCCATTAGACTCTACAATACGGCACTATAACTGCAATAACTTGTGCAATAACTAATATGCAATCACTATTTAATACCCTGTTCAATAGCTATATATAAATACCTATCCTCATAAATAACTATTTAATACCCTGTGCAATAACCTGTGAAACAATCCTGTTAAATAAGAGACTTCACCGAATACACTGTATACCCCATGCACCTTTTTCCTCCTTTTGGCACCTTCTTTTGACTATTGAGCCGATGTGACAAGTGAATTTCTTCACTGTGAGATCAATAAGTTCTTTCTTATCTTTGATTGGTTTTATAAATTTATGTTGATAGAAAAATGTATTTAGAAAAACGCTTCTTCTGCTTAAATTTATCTTGTAATTGTATCTTTATCTTATATTTCCTTATTTATTTTATAATTTAAAATACTAGAATTTTCACATAACTGTTTGATTACATCATTTTAAATCAGATGTTATAAGCAAGTAAAAATAAATGTTAAAGTACTGCTCCTCTTATTTAATAATTTTTTGGTAACTCATTACCCACTTCAGGTAAATCAAATAAAAAAGCGAAACATGACAAACAAAAAAGGGAGAAAAAATATCACATTTTGTGATACATTATGGTGAATTTATTCATTTGTGTTGTTAAATTTAAGGTCAATGTTGAATTTCATATAGCAAACATCATTTGTGACAAGTAGGTCTACAATATATGCCTGTTTGTTGAAAAGTTCTCTAAGATCTAGTTTCGAGGTTAAATTGAGGAATAAATAACATTTCCTTTTGCCCAAACGTTTATCTGGAAGCTGATTCTGTTCAATATGGATAAAAGTCATTAAATTTAAGAACTGATTACATTATTTTTCATGTTCATTAGCTAAACTAATTCTTGGCTTTGCATATACAGGGATGATTATAGAGGAATATAATAGTGAATGGTGTGATGAGGTCCAGACCCTGTATAGCTGATGATCTAATGAAATATTTATGGTTGTGTGGCCAAGCTGCCCCTTTCTGCACATATTCTGGTTTCCAGTTGCAACACCACTGTTTAATTTGGCTGGACAGCCACTCTGAGTAATTAGAGCTCATCTATTGTTTTTTTTATTATTTCAGTCTCTCTAAATATCAAAAATCTAGCCTATAATTATCAAATGATTAGACTTGTTTTTTAGTTTCAAAAGGGATATATGTTTAAAACAGACTTGAGGCTGAAATGATTACTTCAATACAATAAAAAAAATGAAGAATGTGGGAAATATTTTATAAGCAAAAGAAAGGGATCAAATAAACGTCTGTTATTTTCCGGAGTAACCCGAGAGGATGGAGGAGACGCGCAGTGCGCGCAGAGCGGTGCGCCTCTGCAGGCTGGCTGCGCCTCCTCCATAATGTATAGAGAGGACAAAGGTGGGACGGCTGGATTACAAACTTAACTTTGAATGAGCCGTAACCCAAGCCCCAACTATCCGATAAAAGCGGGTCGGCATCCGCTGAAAGGATGATGCGTCTTTTTCCACCTGCAATCTGTCTAATAATCACCGACAGCAGGTAAATGAGATGCAGGCAGCTTTGGATGCTGCTATAAAACGCAGAGGCCTGCGCTTGGAGAGACTCTAACGCACTCAGGGGGGGAGAGAGGAGAGGTCCTTTACAGCCTGGATGCTGGTAAGTCTATTTTCCTTTTGTTTTTGCCTGGAACCAGGAAAAAATCATCTTAAACTATGACCAAGTAACTTTTCTCAGCTATATGTTTGCAGCTTAACATCATGATGTTTTTTTTTTTTTTTTTTTTAACAGTGTCCTGTTTGGCAATGTGGCAATAAGAATAATTGTCTTGATGCCAAAAAGAGCCCAACAGATTTTACTTTCACAAGTGGAGCAGTAGGGCTATTGCCATGTTCCGCTTGTTTCATGCATATAAATTGCTTTATTATAATCATGATGTTAATATCAAATAGG